CCCCCCCCCCTCGGACGGAAATCCTGGGACCGCCACTGAGCGTAAGATATAGTAGCCAAAAATAGGTTGCTCGCACATCTTATCGCACTCAATGTGGACCATCCTATATAAGATCTTCTGCCATACGAGAGCCATCTTCGTAACCTGTAGCATATACCTGTTAAGGCTTTTCAGAAGGCTTTTCATAGCCATTTCAGATGTTTTTACATTTGTATCCTGATTTAGTTTCTTCGCCGAGATTCTTTGATGGAGCGACTACTTGGTCATAAGATGCTATACGGTCGCTTAGAATCATACACAGCTATGGGGTACACGAGAGCTTATGCACCACAGGAGGGCAGTTCCGCACACGTAAGCTGCAAGATGAGGAATTCATCGGTGTGAATGTGGCTGGCTTTAGGTTGAAAATTACAACTCTGAAGGCACACTGAAAGGACGACGTGGACCGCATACTCCTCCACCCCCCGAGAGCACAAGCTTACTCATGGAGCCGAAGCAGCAGCAGTTAAAACCCAGAGGTCCTAGGACTCCGCCGGGATCTCCAGGTGGGCTAAGCCTCATCCTATATAAATGTAACCGAGATAAATGATGACTTTGTTTAGGACCTCGTACTCCACCTCTGCCAGAAGTGTCGCAAAATCCCGTCCCTCCTGTAGCTCCTGCCATGCAGACCCTACTGGCAAATCTGGCGGCTATGGCTGGTACTTCTGGCGCACAGCTGGCCTCATCTCTAGGAGAAGATCTGAATCGAATAGTCGGCAGTGTGAATACGGTAAGACCTTCCTTGCTGCTGATAGTAGTTATAATTGCATAGTCATAAGTGTAGGGAGTTTTCTTGGAATCTTTCGTGACTGCATTGCGTACTGCTACGGCACAAAGTGGTGCTTCACCAGTAGTCGAAGAAAAACCTCCGCAACCAGCAACTCCTGCTCGCGATGTTTCCTCCAGGTTTGTAATGAGATGCTATTTTGAACCAACAGGGTCTCTGATTATAGGTCTTTTTCACGCCCCGAGGCTGATATGGATTCTGTAAAAATGGAACTTGTTTCGGACTGTTCCCTTTCTCCACTTCCGGACTCACAATCGCAATCTCAGTCACCTCTCAAGGCTCCACCACCTCCTCCTCCTTTAATCGCGCCTCCTCCTCCGCCTCCAGTCCTACCAACACGTCCTGCTTCTGCTGTTCAACCTCCACCTCCACCGATAGCTCCCATGGTTAGTTCTTTTTCAATGCAGCGGTGGATGTTCTTTGCGTAGATAGTTTGTAGCCTTGCTAATTCGTCAAATAATTTGACAAATCGGTAAGACGCCGGAATGTCAAAACACTGATTTTTTGCGCTGCATGTTGATGCTGAAGTATCAACGTGCCTTCCATCCTGTGCACAAGAAAGCTGCTATGTTTGGTGCACCTCCCGAAAGATTTGATTTGCTGGAATAACTGAGTTCTTAATGATTTTTAGCTGCTTTGAAAATTCTTAAATTTCATGTTTCGTCTTTGCTTGTCTGCTGAGGAACATTCCAACTCTATAGGCATACTTGACATTCCCCTTGTTGCCGATAAAACTAATTTTTATAACGTCATAGAATGGCGGGCACCTACTATGTATTTGCCCATGTATCGCCGCAAAAGTTTGATCAGCACAAGTGAAAATGGACGCAAAATGGACGCTGCGGAGGTTGCTACATCCATCGGTGTGGGTAGTATAGGGCTCTGCGTGATCGCGAGAGTCGATGAGTGCGGTCATGGCACACACCGGATGCCACAAGGTCTCACCGTAGGCTGCGTTTATATGATCCGGAAGTTCGAGAACAGTTCCAGCCAGTGGCGGAGCGAGAAAAGGGGGATGCCCCGCCCCCCGAGAATGGGTCGCGAAATTCTTGAAAGTTACATGGGTTATAAGATTGTGTGACTCGTTTATATTTGTAAATAATTAAACTAATTTTTTAAAAATTTTTTCAAAAATTATTAGCCTTGTGCAAAAATTTTTTTGGGGCGTGGACGCCACGCCCCTTTTTTCTCAGATTTTGAGGTCATGGGGCCGGGAAAAATTTGGAAAGCATCCCAAAAAAATTTTTGGAGTTGGCTAACGCCAAAACCTTCTTCG